GCTTTGCTGCCTCAGGGCCTGGACGGATTGTTGTCATTGATGGGAAAATGAATTCCAGAGTTTATCAAGACATTTTGCAGGAAAACATACGACCATCTGTCCGCCAACTGAAGCTCCGCAGAGGATGGGTGATGCAACAGGACAATGACCCAAAGCATACAAGTAATTCAACAAAACAATGGCTGCAACAGCACAGAATACGCCTTCTGGAGTGGCCCAGTCAGAGTCCTGACCTCAACCCGATTGAAATGCTGTGGCATGACCTTAAGAGAGCGATTCACACCAGACATCCCAAGAATATTGCTACACTGAAACAGTTTTGTGAAGAGGAGTGGTCCAAAATGACTCCAGATCGTTGTGCAGGTCTGATCTGCAACTACAGGAAACGTTTGGTTGAGGTTATTGCTGCCAAAGGAGGGTCAACCAGTATTGAGTCCAAAGGTTCACATACTTTTTCCTCCCTGCACTGTGAATGTTTACATGTTATGTGCAATTAAACCATGGCAACATCTAATGTTTGTGTAGTATTATGTTCAGCAGACTGTGTTCTTCTATTGTTGTGACTTAGATGATGTTCAGAGCACATTTTATGCCCAATTCATGCAAAACTCCACGTAATCCCAAGGGGTTCACATACTTTTTCTTGCAACTGTATAAATACATCAGTGGTTCATATAGTGAACTCGGTGTAGAGCTATTCACCCTGAGGTCATCACAGAGGACAAGGGGGCACTTTTTACATCTGGAGGAAAAGAAATTTAATCTCCAAACACGGAAAGGTTTCTTCACAGTGAGAGCTGTGAAAAATGTGGAATAGACTCCCTCAAGAGTTGATTCTGGCCAGCTCAGTGGATTTCTTCAATAAAGGCCTGGATTGTTTCTTAGATACACAGAATATAACTGGATACTAACATTTATAGGTAAAGTTGATCCAGGGAATATCCGATTGCCTCTCAGGGGATCAGGAAGGAATTGTTTTCCCTGCAGGAGCAAATTGTATCATGCTTTGCTGTTTTTTTTTTTTTTTTGCTTTCCTCTGGATCAACTGTGGACTCTGGATCAACTTTTTTTTTCTATGGTTGAATTGGATGGACTTTTGTCTTTTTTTCAGCCAGACTAACTATGTAACTATGTGAATTTGTTAATAGTCACCCTATACTATAAAATATACATAAATAGTGTTGCACTAACTCATATAGACATAATAGTCCATAAACAGATTCAAATGTGATAGTTCAATCAAAATAAGAGATATATATATATATATATATATATATATATATATATATATATATATATATATATATATAAATAAAGTGCTTGAATGGTGAAAATCAAATAAGGTGCTTGAATGGTGAAGAATTACTACAATGTGCTGCGGATAAATAAAATCTATTCGAAAAATACGGTGCTCCACCTTAACTCAATATATAGATATATAGATGGCCGCTCACCTCCTACTGTGAACCCATAAATTAATACAGGTCAACCAAGCATGGTAATTCTAAAACAATGCTCTAGATGGCAGCAGAGAGCCGATGACAGGCACACCTTCAATGACAATGGGACTCTTCTCAGCTTAATTCCACATATAGAAAGAACAGAGGACATCTCCCATAGTGTAATACTATTTTAATTCCACATAAATTAAATTCCAGAGTGTCACTCACACAAAAAAAAGTTTTTTTTTTTCCCGGACGAAGCCACGTGGTTGGTGGCGTAACGCGTGGGGGCAGAGCCTAGCGACGTCATTGCCGGCTTTTTACAGAGCAGGAGTTTTGAATTGCAAATTGCTGTTTTACTGCTTCTATCATGTGAGTGACACTGTGGAATTATTTTATGAGTTGGCGCAACACTATTTATGTATGTTTTAAGTGTGGGATCACCTTTTAAGTGTTATTGCAGCGGCTCTATTTTATTAGCTTATTCACTAGTTTGATAGCGCACATTGTTTTTTTTTATTTATTAGATAGTCACCCTATACTAAGTAAAAATATGTGGCTGTTTTCTCAGACAATGGTTTGGGTGTAAACTGGATATGTCATAAAATTGGAACTGTGTGGCATTCTTATTGTATTACTGATTGTTTTGACATACGTAAATAATGTACTTGGATGTATAAATATTTGCACTACACTACGTTACGGGTTTTCATTTTACACCAATACAACCTTCTAGCCACTGGCCTCCTGACAACCACTAATGTCATCATTTGATAAGAAGGACATCAGACCACTGCTAAGCATCCTTGTTTGAGGGATAAGAGAAACACTGGAATTCTAGTTAGTACCAGTGTGCAAAGGTGTGTTGGTCTTGTAAGAATAAACCACTTAATGTTGTGTGAACTACATGTTTGTATGTTGCTGCATTATGTAAAACTATAAGTTTAGTATTTTACATTTTAAAATGGGATGCATCAAAATTGTCCATTTTAAAGGGCGCCTTGACTGAAAAAATGTTGAGAAACTGAGTTAGAATATCCGATTATATGCAAGTAATATATACAAAACACACAGAATTTCTGTCTATACTACAGTTATCTGAAAGAATTCCCTACCGCCCTATAGCAGAACTACTGCTACAAGGCAGCAGGGGTGCGCAAAATCACACACAACACAGAGATTATATATATATATATATATATATATATATATATATATATATATATATATAACAACATGTTAATTGGTGTACAAAACAAAAAAAGGGAGAAAGAAAGCAAATCGACATAATGTCATATATATATATATATATATATATATATATATATATATATATATATATATATATATACTGTATATATATATATACACACACACACACACACATATATACATACACACACACACACACACGATGATGCATTCCCAGGTAGGGGGTGCGCGCGCGCGCGCCATTGGTGGCTACAGTAGTCGATCACCGGGTCCTGGCCGGAGATTCCCCGCTGGCACCCGGTGATCGATGAGAAACAGTGACACTGGTAAACACAGGTCTCTCTCCAGCCAGCAGAAAAACAAACAACAGTATGTTTCACTAGTAAAACACACACAGCACATCATGTAAAACAGCACACAGTGAACCCTTTGATCGCCCCCGATGTTAACCCCTTCCTGCCCAGTGTCATTAGTACAGTGTCAGTGCTTTTTATTAGCACTGATCACTGTATTAGTGTCACTGGGATGTCAGTGGCAGTTAGTCCCCCCCCCCCCCCCCAGTGTCAGAATGCCCGCCGCAGTCTCGCTATAAGTCGCTGATCGCCGCCATTACTAGTATAAAACATTTTTTTTAAATTCCAGTATATATACACCACCATTTGTAGATGCGATAACTTTCATGTAAACCAATTAATTTACATGTACTGGGATTTTTTTTTTTTTTTTTTTTAGCAGACATGGAGCAGAATACATTTTGGCCTAAATTTATGAAGAAATTTGATTTTTAAAATTTTTTTTTTTTTACTGGATATGTTGTATAGCAAAAAGTCAAAAATATATATTTTTTTTCAAAATGGATGGTCTTTTTTTGTTTATAGTGCAAAAAAATGTAAAAAAAACCCCACACAGGTGATCAAATACCACCAAAAGAAAGTTCTATTTGTGGGGAAAAAAAAGACATACATTTTATGTACAGCAATGCATGACCGTGCAATTGTCAGTTGAAGTAACAGTGCCGTATGCCTACAAAATTCTATACCGATGGTATTATACGCCTGCTCGTCTAGCTAGTTTTATCCCTACATATTCCCCAGTCTGTTTTCAGGGATGCCAACAATTGGGTACTATGACTCATATCTGGTGGACTTGCCCTAAAGTAAGCAGATTATGGATTAGAGTGTATGCCCTCCTCCGCACTATCCTTCACGCAGACATTAAGCGTAACCCGTATGAAGCGCTTCTATTTAAACCGCTGGAGGACCTCCTCCGTTCTGAATGGCAGCTGGCATCATACTTATTTATGGCAACTAAATTGACAATTGCGAGAGCTTGGAAAACTCCTCTCCTTAGTTTTGAGGCTGTCAAAAACCGGATGAACTTCATAATGGTTAATGAAAAACTGACAGCCATATTGTTGGATACCCATATAAAATTTCTGCAGATATGGCGTCCTTGGCTGGATATATCTCAACCTTCGAGATTTGACCAGTCCCTTCTGTCGATATGAGGATGGATTTAGCTGTGATCGCCTCGGAGCCCCCCCCCCCCTTTTTTTTTTTTTTTTTTTTTTTTTTTTTTTTTTTTTTGTTGTGTTGTTCGTGTCTCTCTACTGTTTGTCTTTTCCTAACCTCCTGTCAAATCTGTCCTTAAACATTTTTCGGATTGTGCTTGCTGTTTTATGCGCTACATCTGCAATACTACCAATGCAATCAGGATTTCTTTGTAAACTCTAGGTTTTGATCAGGTACCATTTTCTGGAGAAGGCCTCTTCCCGTGCCTCTCCCGTTTTCTATATGTTGATGTAGCAAAACTCCCCTTTAGAGTTTGTATTATCATTGACCCACAAAGGTTTGTTAATCGTTCTCTCCCAACCCCTTCCCCCATCTTTTCCTACAGGGCACCTATGTAAACTTTTCAGCTTATGCCTTTTCCAGTGCATGCCTTGAACTAGCTTCCCCTCACCCACTACAATTTCTAATTGTTGGTCATTGAATATATGTTCCGAATGTTTGTTTATCTTTGCTTAGTATTCAATAAAGCTCTTTGTAAAAGAAGTAACCGTGCCGTATCGCAAAAAATGGCATGGTCAGAAAGGGTGGGTAAATCCTCTGGAGGGCAAGTGGATTAAAAAAAATGAAAAAAAAAAAACATTTCTATCCAATGGAATTGTTCAGAAAACAGAGAGAGAGAGGTGATATGAGGAAGCTATGGAAAACAAACTCCAACATATAACATTCCAGATGGTATTTAGGTCTAAGCAATCCCTCTGAGCAGTGGTGCTAGCTAATAAGCAAATTCAATATGCTTTTCATAATTTCTGCCTTATCTCCAGTTCACCAAACTTACCATTTGTACATACGGTTTCATTTCCCAGGCCTGGATATTTGTGTTATCAATTATAATAGGTGACCTCCCATCATCCATTGCTCTCTGGGCTGTGGTACAAACAGAAACAAACATTACTTTAAAAATGTAACACAAAATAGTCCAAATATGGAAAAACAAGTTGCGCGAGTGCATTTTCTGCTGGAGTGTGAAGCAGCAGTTAAACACAGCAGTTTAACTAAAGCAGGATACCTCAAGCAGCAGGAAGATACAACAAGGAACTCTACTGCACGCTGGATGGACTGCAAGCAAACACCCTGGGAAACATCTCCTACAAGTCCGATTCCCACTCCGTGTACCTTTTAATATGTCCCCTCTACTCCTCCTTTTCATATTACTATCCTGTGTTCTCAAAATTTCATTTCTTTACCCCTCTGCTCCACCTCAAAGCTTATACATCTCACCCTCACTGCTACCATCTCCCTACTACTGCTCTCATCACCTCCTGCTGACCCAAACACCAGGACTGGAAGGCATGTGCACTCATATACATCCCGCTCCTACCTTACTTTCTTCACCCTCCTCCTAACCTCTGGGGATATCTTCCCAAACCCTGGTCCTTCAGTATCTCATTCCCACACCAGGCACCCTCCTTCCAGCAGGAATAGCCACAATCCACTCAATTTAATCTCTATCCCCGTGCTCCTAAAAACCACCCTCCCTTTTTTATTTGGACTCTGGAATGCCTGCTCTGTCTGTAATAAGCTCACCTCTGTCCATGACCTTTTTGTCTCCCATTCCCTTAACCTACTAGCAATTACAGAAACCTGGCTTCAAGCAACAGATTCTGCTTCTCCCGCAGCACTTTCCTATGGAGGCCTTCTCTGAAATCACTCACAGACCCAGTGGTCATAAAGAAGGTGGAGTTGCTTTGCTTCTATCTCCACTGAGCACCTTTCAAGTCCTCCATACACCTCCCTCTATCCTTCTCTTCTTTCGAGACTCACTGCAGTCGGCTGTTTTCTCCTATTTCTTTGAGAATTGCAGTGATCTACCGGCCCTCCTGGACCGGTGTCCCGCTTTCTTGATGATTTCTCTGCCTGGCTATCCTAGTTTCTCTCCTCTGAAATAGCCACTATCATTCTTGGAGATTTTAACATCCCCATTAATGTTAACAACCCGGCTACATCCCAACTCTTCAACCTAACCTCAGCTTTTGCCTTAACTTAATGGACACAGTCCTCCACTCACACTGATGGGAATACATTAGACCTCGTTTCTCCCATCTTTTCACTCCATACAACCTCACAAACACCCCCTTTCCTCTCTCTGATCACAATCTCATCACCTTCACAATCTCATCACCTTCACAGTGTCCTCATCTTCAAACACTTATCCCTCCAAGCAGCAAACAATTACCCACAGAAACCTTCACAACTTAAACCCCTCTCTTTTCCACTCTGCAACTGACCAACTCTAAGACAGAATCTCTCCCCTGTCCTGCCCTGATCTGGCCACTACTGTCTACAACAGTTCGCTTTCAGCCACACTAGACTCACTTGCACCCCTAACTACACGAAGTACCAGGTCCCGACCATTACAACCTTGGCAGACTGATGACACCAGAAATCTTGAGACATAGCCGTGCACTGGAGCGACTGTGGCGTAAAACCAAATCCCAGCAAGCTTTCACCTTATATAAATCTGCTTGGGTCATACAATTCCTAACTTCATGCTGCCAAACAAGCCTACTTTGTCACTCTTATTAATACCATGTCATCCAGTCCTCGTCCTCTCTTCTCTACATTCTCCACCCAGTACCTCACTCACTGCTTATGAGAGTGCAAATCATTTCAAAAACAAGATTGATGCAATTCGTAGTAGCATCTCTGCTACACAGACATCTATCCCAGTTAGCATACCTTATACTAAACCTCCCTCAACACTTTCCTCTTTTGACCTTGCTACTACTGAAGAGGTCACTAAAGTTTTCTCAGAAGCCTGTCTCACCACCTGCTCCCTGGATCCTGTCTCCCCACAACGACTACGGTCACCCTCTTCTTCCATCCTATGCTCCCTCACTCACATCTTCAATCTCTCCCTCTCTAATGGTGCCTTCCCCTCCAAAGCATGCACACATCACTCCCATACTTAAAAAGCCCTCGCTGGACCCCACCAACCTGAACAACTAAAGACCCATCTCCTTGCTCCCGTTTACCTCGAAACTCTTAGAACGCTTAGTCTACAATCATCTGAGCTCCTACCTCACTGACAACAACCTTCTTGACCCTTTACAGTCTGGCTTTCGCTCACTCCACTGAAACTGCTCTACTAAAACTCACTAATGATCTATTAACTGCTAAAACCAATGGCCATTACTCCATACTCTTACTACTTGACCTCTCTGCAGCTTTTGATACTGTTGACCATCCCCTCCTCAAAAAACTCCACTCTCTTGGCCTCCGAGACTCTGTTCTCTCCTGGTTCTCCTCCTATCGCAGCGCTCCTTTAGCGTTACCTTTAACTCTGTCTCCTCCTCTCCACTCCCTCTTTCTGTAGGGGTCCCTCAAGGTTCTGTCCTTGGACTCCTTCTCTTCTCAATCAACACCTCCTCCCTTGGTCACTTGATAAACTCCCATGGCTTTAAGTACCATCTCTATACTGAGGACACACAAATCTATCTTTATACTCCTCACCTCACCCCTTCAGTCTCCTCTCGCATTACTAACCTAAGTGACATATCAGCATGGATGTCACTCCACTTCCTTAAACTCAAATCTTTCGAAAACTGACCTCATACTATTCCCTCCAGAGCATTCCCCCTCCTCTGACTTCTCCATCAAGATCAATAATACAACCATCATTCCCTCCCCTCATGCCAGGGTACTAGGTGTAATCCTAGACTTCCATCTGTTCTTTCAGCCCCAAATCCAATCACTGTCCAAATCTTGTAGACTTCACCTCCGCAACATCTCCAAGATACGCCCATTCTTAACCTCGGAAACTACTAAGCAACTTATTCACTCCCTTGTTATCTCTCACCTTGCCTATTGTAACTCCCTCCTCAATGGCCTACCTCATCGCAGGCTATCCCCTCTTCAGTCTATCATGAATGCTGCTGCCAGACTCATCCAACTTACTGACCGTTCCATATCTGCCATCCCTCTCTACCAATCCCTCCACTGGCTTCCCATTGCCCAACGAATAAAATTCAAAACATTAATAACATATAAAACTATTTATAACTCTGACTCCAATTACATCACCAATCTTGTCTCCAAATATTACCCAAACCGTCCTCTCCGCTCCTCGCATGACCTCCTACTCTCCAGTTCCCTTGTCTCCTCCTCCCATGCTCATCTCTAGAACTTCTCCAGAGCCTCCCCCATCCTCTGGAACTCTCTACCCCAATCTATCAGCCTATCGTCTACTCTGTCCACTTTTGGGCGATCTCTGAAAACCTCTCTTCATGGAAGCCTATTCCGCCTTCAGCTAATAACGGAATCTTCTATTCCTCCTATCAGTCCATCCCCCACAGTTATCTTTTGTACCATCAGCCCCTCCCTCATAGATTGTAAACTCCAAGGAGCAGGGCCCTCCTAACCCTCTTGTACTGAACTGTATTGTCTCCCTTTATATTGTAAAGCACTGAGCAAACTGTTGGCACTATATAAATCCTGTATAATAATAATAATCTGCTTGCTCAGTGGGGGATCTGTCTGCTGATCCTCACTGATCAAGTGCTGGGGCGGCAGCAAGGGGCGGGGTTATTTTCAGCACCTGTATGGGTGCTTGTTTTCATATCGGCCAAAACGTTTCGATCACTGAAATTTCAGTGCATCCCTACTGGTTCCCAAGAGGCCATCTAAGTAAAACTGAATCCTGGGGCCTTCGACATTATCAGTCTTCCACAAATGTCATTTTAACATTTCTACCTCTGCAATCTGAAAACAACTTACTCCTTCATCCATGTGAATTTAATGATTAAAACCTATGCAGATTTCCTGAAAACAAGGTTTTACAACTTTCACACCTCCCATTCTGTTCTTGGGCAATCAACATTTGCTTTGACACGTTCCATGGTGATTAGTTTAAGGCCTCTTTCACAGGGGCATTCCATTTTTTTCAGTCAGTCCAGTCACGTTTTTTCCAAGAAAAAAAACAGATCAGTTCACGGCAGTTTTTCATCCGTTCAGTTTTTTCTTTTTAAAATAGGGTTTTCTTCCGTTCAAAAAAAAGGTTGTTAAGGGATGTGAACATTAATGGATGAAAACAGATGATCATCCGTTTACATCCGCTATTCCATATACATACATGCGTCTGTTTTTCATCCGTAAATGGACAGATGAAAAACAGACAAACAGAAAGCCTGTGTGAAAAGGGCCCTTAAAGAGAAATGCGGGATTAAAAAAAAAAAAAAAACTACACATACTCAGCAAGATGGCTGCAGAACCGATCCAAGCTACAGTTGTCCTCCTCTGGCTCTACACCGAGAACAGAGATCAAAGCCTCCTGAATGCTCAGTTCTCAGATGCGCACTGAGCACAGAGCAGCGACTGTCAGTCAACACTCTGCTCTGCCCCTCCAGTGCTCACCTCCCCAACACTGACTATAGTATATTCTTACCTATGCATATATAGATTGTAGGGAGACATAACAACAATAATCCTTTAATGGCAAACAACACACAACCAATACAGATCTGTAGTCCCATTCTACAGCAAAAAGGCATCAGTGTGTTTCTGTATGTCAGTTCTGTACATTAGAACACTTCAGTTCTAATGCGGGATTCTTATCTCACCTCTGTTCTGATTCCAGTTATGTGCATCTCCCAGCAGTTTCACATCATATGCATATCCATTTTCCTGGCAGAAGTAATCATCAGTGCTGAAGACAATGCCATCAGGAGACTGTTCAAGCAGAATACTGTGAAATTAGGTAAATTAAAAAGTGTAACATGGGGAACCAGAGGTTTTCATTTTTAAAAAGCATGTCTACTTTTATCAAAGTGTGTTTTTTTCCCTCCATACACAAATCAATTTCTGACAGCCTTTTCTGCATTTTGCAAATAACAATATCACAGTCAGTGGAGAGTAAAGTTGTCGCTTCATTGTCGCTGTTATGATAAACAGGCTGTCAAAAGTCATATCTTAGACATGGCATGCCATTGTGGACACTAACTCATTACCTAACAAGCACCTTCTTAATGCACATTGCACAGTAGCAACTTTCAAGTCCGCTTGTAATTTGCGTGTCTGAGCAGTAACACATTCAGAAAAGCCTGGAAGACTGCCTTCACATGGCCACTTGGTGTGTTCTGCGGTGACTCTGGATGCAGGTAAACTGGACATATTCGCACTTAACCTCTCAGATAGACGGCTACATGCAAACAGTGGCTGTGCTGGCCATTGACTTGTACAGAGTACCAAATTGCCAGCTGCAGCGGACAACTGCTGCTGGTCGCATACAGAGTGTGCAGGCAGTGTTTAGTACCTTCAGCAGGAATCTCACCAGCTACCACTGACCACCACTGTGCAGCCATGTGAATGCAGCCTAAAAGGATTCAAACATTCTTGTAAAGCATATATAACTACGAAGCCATTTTTTGTTGTTGAAGTTTTGGATTGACTAGGGGAGTGTTAGAACCTCCTGGCAGGCTTTTATTAGCAGCATCCCTGCTGGGGACACTCACCCTAGCTGTACTGGTGATCATTGTTACAGGGAAAAGACGTCAAAGGAAATCTATATTTCTTTTTTATAGAGATCTCACCAGAACAAGAGACAATAAGGCTTCAAATGGGGACACCTGTTCCCGTGTCAACTATATAAGAGGGCAATTCCCCTAACTTTGAAGATATTTTCTCTTCGTCCTATTCTTTTCTACGGCATCTTTGAGATAAAATGTAACCAGATAGGATTTAACCCTATAATGGTTATACATATACTTTAAGCACAGCATAGTTTTACTGTAAATCACCCACTCCATCAAAATTGCTTGAGAAAATATTATCTATTCCACTAACAAAGCATATAGGAGTGTCTGAAGTGACTCCTTTGCCTTATCCTCTAGCATTTCTGGCCATGACCGTCTTGAGAAGGGTAGATCATTCATGTAGCATTTACTTCCTGGAATTCATCTGCCCTTAGCTGGGAAAACCCCTCCCACCCTCCTCCCCTCCCGAAGTCTCCTGGGATATATGACATCATTTGCCTAGACATGGAAACTGGTAATTGAAGAAATGTAAAAAAAGAATGTAAACACGTAAATATGGTATACTTTCCTACCTATTTACTAATGCTAAGAGCATAAGGATTTAAAATAGTCAATGTTGACAGAGTGATATTCCGCTTTAAGTATTGCATTGGAGAGGCTATGCCTATAAAACAACCTAATGAAAAATCATATATACTACGCACACAAACAGTGTAATACAGACTATACATTACTAACCGTGCTAGTGTACTTTTCCCCGAGCCAGGGACACCCCTTAAAAGCACCAGTTTTCTTTTCAAATCTGTACATTTAGCTTCATCCCTGGAACTAGGATATTGTTCATGAAACATATTGCCACCTTGGGGTAATCTTATTTCACTGAAATGTCTACCTTTTTGATCATGAAAGTCTTCCCGCTGCTGATATACTTGTGAGGATTCAAAAGGAGGTTTTGGAGATGGCTCTGTAAAACCACTACCCTGAGGGTTAAACCTGTTTTGAGGCAGCACATGTGAGCTGTGCCACGGAGCCTGAGTTGTAGGCCGTGGATGGTCATCATTCACACGGTGATATTTCTCATTTGCCTGATATGGCGAGTTTTGTACATCATCTTCCCTTGGGAAAATCAATGGATAGTTGTATCTTGGAAGAGGTGGACCACGATTTACTACAAAGGCGGGTGGAGGAGGACCCCGAAAACATGGAGGTGGCGGAGGACCTTGAAAACATGGAGGTGGCGGAAGACCTTGAAAACATGGAAGTGGCAATGACTGAGTTACAAGAGAAGAATTGGTTCTATCAAATGGCATTGGCCTATAACAAGAATCCTGGTTGTTATTAGGAGGTAGTATAGGATGCTTAGGTGGTGATACTGGAGCTTCATTTGGATGATAACGGGGGGGAATCACAGCTGATGGTTTGCAAGGAAAAGGATTACAAGGCTGTGGGGAACGTTCTTGGTTATGATGATCTCTGACCTCATGGACTGTTGGTGCGTTGCTCTGGTGAGAGTCAAAATGCTTCTGACTACCATCAGTTGTCTGAACAATGTTACAGTCATCAGCAGTTTCAAGTGCATGAAGTTCTTTGTAAAACTGCCGCAACTCATAGTCAATCCCACCCTCACCTTTTGTTCTACAAGCTGCTTTCCCTGATACCAGTGTTGTAATCATGAAGGAGGGAGACCTACGGTTTTCATTATTGGTGGTTCTTGATAAAGTATCTACTTGAGCTGGTGGCTGGTAAAGTGGTCCTATAAAGGCTGTACTTGTTACAGAAAATGTCTCAGAATTGTTATTTTTCCATTTGTCTGTTTTAGGAAGTCCCAAGATTTGCTGGTTTTTATTGCTGTCCTCTGTCCTACTAAAATGCAGTTCAGAACAATAATTTTTAGACGATCCTGGTCTTGCCTCATTGTCAAAACCATTTAGAAAATCTTCAACTTTTGATTTTTCATGTTCACCGCTGTCTAGTCTATAGCATCCGGTCTCCGGGAACCTTGACGGACTCTGATTTTCTGACTGTCTTTCCAGTGACAAATACTCCTCAGTATTCTTCTTTTTACTTAATGATGAATTGTCAGGTTTGGACTCTATCCTAGTATAATGAGCTTCAAAGGAGTATTTTCTAGATGATTCTGGTTCTGCCTCATTGTCAAAAGCATTTAGGAAATCTTCACCAACTTTTGATTTTTCATGTTCACCGCTGTCTAGTCTATAGCATCCGGTCTCCGGGAACCTTGACGGACTCTGATTTTCTGACTGTCTTTCCAGTGGCAAGTACTCCTCAGTATTCCTCTTTTTACTTATTGATGAATTGTCAGGTTTGGACTCTATCCTAGTATAATGAGCTTCAAAGGAGTAATTTCTGGATGATTCTGGTTCTGCCTCATTGTCAAAAGCATTTATGAAATCTTCACAGACTCTTGGTTTTTCATGTTCACCTTTGTGTGATCCATGATATCTGGTTTCCAAGAGCCCCGACGGACTCCAATTTTCTGATGGTATTTCCATTGGTATATACTCCTCAAAATTCCTCTTTTTGCATAATGCAGAATAGTCAGGTTTGGACTCTTTTCTACTAGAATCAGCTTCAGAGGTGTAATTCCTAGATGATCCTGTTTTTGCTTCATTGCCCAAACCATTTAGGAAATCTTTACGGACTCTTGGTTTTTGAGCTTTGACTGATCCATAATACCTGGTCTCTGAGAACCCTGATGAATTCTCCTTTTCTGATGGTGTATCTAGTGGTATGAACTGCTCAGTTTTCTCCTGTTTGCATAATGCTGAATAGTCAAGTTTGGACTTTTTCACACAAGGTTCAAAAGAGGAATCAAAGTGTCGTGGTCTAAAATACCTTTCAACATGAGGCATCTAAATAAAAAGATTAAATAAAGTTCATTACATGTAAATGCAAATCTTATCTTGAAGTATAAAAAGAAAAGAAAAAAACATTTTGTTTTGCCTTTTTGGATAGCTTAAGTGAGGGTTATAACCCCTGTCACGTATTTTGCCATCTGTCTCCTTTTTAGGGAGATTTCTGTCCTTGCCCCCCAGACAAAACAGGAAGTGAGAGGAAATCTCTCTAAAGTGGCAGAATCCCTGTTTGAAACAGGGTCACCAGAACTAGTGTCCCCATTGGAAGATTTCCTCATTCTTCCTGTTATGGGAAAAACACAACATTTAGGATTTTCTTCTACTTTCAATGATAACGGTTCTCCCTGTACCTGCGTGGGTTTCCTCTGGGTTCTCCGGTTTCCTTCCACACTCAATAGACATGCTGGTAGGTTAATTGGCTCCTGTCTTAATTGTCCTGTCTAAATGTCCCTAGTATGTGAATGTATGATTGTGAGTTAGGGGCCTTAGACTGTAAGCTCCTTGACGGCATGGACTGATGTGAATGTACAGTATATATAGGTACAGCTCTGCGTAAATGGACAGCGCTCTATAAGTATCTGTAATAAATATATAAAAATAAATAATGATAAACAGGACAAATAAAGAGGTTGAATCTCCTTCATGGGAGCACAGACAGCAATAAAAACCTGACAGGTGTTCTAATCCATCTACACTCTATCCAAAACTCAAATAAATTTATGGCCTTTAGTTATACTTGAATTTTTTATTTTACTTCACAATTTCATATGCATCTTTTTTATGTTTCAGTTATAATAAAGATTTTATAATACGTCTTCGTAAATTTTTATACATGCGGCTATGGGGCTGGGAATGTCTCTGCCACCCATGATTGGCTGTCTGCTTTCACAGCTTACAGATGAGATAGCTTAGGCAGGTGCAACAGACTTGTGCCTGAACCCGCCTGAACTCATCCCTGATCGCAACGTCAACTGGCTGTTAACCCCTTTCCACCTGGCATCCCTTTTTCAACAGGGTTTGTACACCCAGGAGTCAGGAAGGTCCGGACAATCACACGACCAGGGTGATTAGTTGTCAGAGTGGTCACATTACTGAAAGCTGTCTCTGGAAGCGTGCAGTCAGTGCACTCTCAACACAGAAAGCTCTGCTGTCATGGATGTGCGGCATCTGGATATTATAGTGGAGCTTTAGTCAGAAAATTAAGTTCTGATAGATAACTTCAGGCCGGCCCCTTTTTCAGGTGTAGCTATGTAAAACAATAAAAATAAGTGCCTATACTGTTTAAAACCCAGTAAAGCACGGCCCGAACCCTGCTCTGCACATGCTCAGTTGCTCTCTATTCTCAACACCGTGCCTAAAATCAGAGCCACTAGAGGCCAATCAGCTGAGAGCTTTAGGATTTGCTGATGCTGAAAGGGGGAAGAGAAAGCAACAGGAATGACACAGATTGTGGGGAGAGAGAAAGGAAAAGCAGGAGAGGTGACAGGACAAACTTTGCTGCCAGGGAGACACAAAAAGGGGTAAAGAATATGTAAACCCAACATTTCATATTCCTGACATCTGCCTGCTGTACCATGTACTTGTATGAAAATGTATCCTGTTCCCTGGTGTTCCTATCAGTCCCCCTGCTTTCCTATAAAAACTGACCAAACTAGGCTATGGGCACTAACAGTGATCATTGTGTTCTGCTGGAAAAGAAGGCTCCCCACCAGCAGAACCCCACAGTGCTACAAGAGGGAATTCCCCATCAACACTGAATAAGTCAATAGGGGAATCAAGCAATTTTCTTTCCTACAACCAAAATTGTGCCTGCTTTCATCACTTTAGAACCGCACTGTAGCCAAAAGATGACTACAGCACTGCCCTCTTGTTCTGAGAAGGCGTCCATGGATGTCCTCCCAGAGCCCGGCCTCCTGTGCACCCCCCAGGGCACACTCTGTGACCTTTGGACACAGTTAATCACAGATCACAGTAAAGGGCTAATTCATCATGTGATCAGCTGTGTCCAATCACAGCTGATAACATGTAAACAGACTTGCCGGTTATCGGCAGTGTTTGCCTCACACACTGTCTGTGTCAGGAAAGGATAGCCAATAACCTGCAAGGCTGTCATTGATTGTTTACACTGATAATCAGGGCACTGATCAACAGTGCTATCATTAGTGCAGACCCATCAGCGCTCATCCGTTAGGAATAAAAATGACTTATTTGCTAAATTTTATAACAGAAACTAAGAAAAAGGTTTCTTTTTCAAAATTTTTAGTCTTTTATTCATTTGTTTAGCAAAAAATAAAAACCCAGTGGTGATTAAATACCACCAATGGAAAGCTCTGGTTAAAAAAAAAAAAAATGTTGTTTGGATACAGTGTTACATACCTGCGCAATTGTCATTCAAAGTGTGACAGCTCTGAAAGCTGAAGTTTGGCCTGGGCAGGAAGGGGGTGAAAGTGGCCAGTATTGAAGTGGTTAAACTTACAAGAATAGGGTCCTATCTTATCTCCCTGATATCCTCTCCTATCTTCAGCAGCCTGTAACCTTCAGCACTGTAAGGCTCCATGCACACAAGCATTTTTTAGAAGCTCAAAAAATGCTAGGAACAAAAAAAAAAAAAAACGCTGGATGAAAAATGCTAATAGAGTTTTTTGTGCAGCTTTGTAGTAGCATTTTAGACGTGTTTAGGATTAGCATTTTTACAGTACATGTAAGAAAAAAAAAGCTACAAAAAAAAAAGCTGTTGTTATGAGCATTTTAGGATCGTTCAGCGGTTTTTTTTTTTTGCCGAAAAAACACTCCCAAATACAATTTTGTTTTCTGCTCCTAAACGCTGAAGCTCGAAAAATGCTACTAGCCTAAAACAGTGTGTATGGACACATAGGGTAACACTATTTAGCTTCTAGGAGCAGAAAAAAAAAAATGCTAATAACTTCTGGGAGCTTAAAAAAACGCTAATGTGCAGAGATCCTAAAGTGGAAGTAAAGTCCACTTTGTAAGTTGTTCCTACAGGTAAGCCTATAATAAGTACAATGAATATTCAAGAGCATGCAGCCGGTGATGTCACTGGCGCAAGCGCTCTGACGGGACAGCACTGCATGCCGGACCTTCAGACCTCCATGCCGCAGCTGAGCTTTCCTAGAAGGAAGACCGGGTGAAGATGGTGACACCGTGACAGCGCGGCGCTGAGTGCTCAGTGTACAGGTAAGTCTGTCATATGTGGTGCATACTAGTGCATTATAACCTAAACCTGCAGGGGGCCCATCATTGGTTTTTTTCTCCCCAAGCAGTTTACTACAGCTTTAACCACTTCAAGTCAGGACACTTTTACCCCCTTCCTGTCCAGGCCAATTTTCAGCTTTCAG